CCGACAGGTCTAAATACAGCGTCTGGAACACTAAATACTGCTTTCTAAAGACTAAAATTGCTTTGTGGAGACTAAATACTGCTTTCTGAAGACTAGATACTCCTAACAGGTCTAAATACTGCAAAAGAGAGATAAAATATTTTGGAGAAAACATACATAACTTTGGCAGAAGACTAGATACTCCTTCTAGAAGACTAAATACTACTTTTTGAAGACTAGATACTTCCGACAGGTCTAAATACAGCGTCTGGAACACTAAATACTGCCTTCTAAAGACTAAATACTGCTTTCTGAAGATTAGATACTAATAACAGGTTTAAATACTGCAAAAGAAAGATAAAATATTTTAGAGAAAACATACATAACTTTGGCAGAAGACTAGATACTGCTTCTAGAAGACTAAATACTGCTTTCTGAAGACTAGATACTGCCAACAGGTCTAAATACAGCGTCTGGAACACTAAATACTGCTTTCTAAAGACTAAAATTGCTTTGGGGAGATTAAATACTGCTTTCTGAAGACTAGATACTACCAACATGTCTAAATACTGCAAAAGAAACATAAAATATTTTGGAGAAAACATACATAACTTTGGCAGAAGACTAGATACTGCTTCTAGAAGACTAAATACTACTTTTTGAAGACTAGATACTGCCGACAGGTCTAAATACAGCGTCTGGAACACTAAATACTGCCTTCTAAAGACTAAAATTGCTTTGTGGAGACTAAATACTGCTTTCTGAAGACTAGATACTGCTGACAGGTCTAAGTACTGCAAAAGAAAGATAAGATATTGTTGGAGAAAACATACATAACGTTGGCAGAAGACTAGATACTGCTTCTAGAAGACTAAATACTGCTTTCTGAAGACTAGATACTTCCGACAGGTCTAAATACAGCGTCTGGAACACTAAATACTGCCTTCTAAAGACTAAAATTGCTTTGTGGAGACTAAATACTGCTTTTTGAAGACTAGCTACTGCTGACAGGTCTAAGTACTGCAAAAGAAAGATAAGATATTTTATAGAAAACATACATAACTTTGGCAGAAGACTAGATATTGCTTCTAGAAGACTAAATACTGTTTTCTGAAGACTAGATACTGCCGACAGGTCTAAATACAGCGTCTGGAACACTAAATACTGCTTGCCAAAGACTAAAATTGCTTCTAGAAGACTAAATACTGTTTTCTGAAGACTAGATACTGCCGACAGGTCTAAATACAGCGTCTGGAACACTAAATACTGCTTTCTAAAGACTAAAATTGCTTTGTGGAGACTAAATACTGCTTTCTGAAGACTAAATACTGCTGACAGGTCTAAGTACTGCAAAAGAAAGATAAGATATTGTTGGAGAAAACATTAAAAAGGCGCCGGGTGCGGTGCACCCCTTGCACCCCCCGGTAGCGCCGCCTCTGTGCCGGAACAGTTTTGAGCATATTGCTTAAATCTGCACTTGGTTGTTCTAGCCACTTTCTCTATATGCAAATTCAGAGGAGATATCCCAAGCAGAACTTCGAGTTTGTCGGACTTTCCTATACCAGGCTGATGCTCCATATGTGATCATAGGTCTAACCACAGTCACATAGTGCCAGTGCAGTCTTTCAGGGGTAAGACCCCAATTTTTTCCACAAAGACTGCGACGAGTCCACAAGAATAGTCTAGCTTTGCGCAAAATTCCCTGCAAATGTCCATTCCAACTGGACAGGGATACAGAACTTCCAAACATTACAGAATGCTGCACATAATAGAACCACCTGATAGGAAAAGCGATGAACGCCTACGCAGAAATCTGCTTGGTACTTTAAGAAAAGAATTCTTCTTATTAAGTGATTTAATTGGAATAATGATATTTTAAATGAGATCGCAATAATTAATGAAGTGTTGTATTCTTTAAATTAAAGGAAACTGTTTGAAAATTAGTTGGTGTTAATTTGGTTGCCTACGTGAGAGGTATTTATGAAATTACTTTAAGAAAATGATAAAAATTTGCAGAATGAGACGAGTAGGAATGTAGACGTAATAAATTCCGCGCAAAACGACCGCTAACGGTAAATCGTCTGGAGTACGTCTGGATGGTTAAAAATAAATTTAATTAGAAAATACTTTTTTTTTTAAATAATTTAAAATGAATGTTTACATTTGGGTTTGTTGAACCGCTAATTTCGTTTCTTTTTAAACAATACACATCAACAAAAAATGAAAATATGACGAAAAAAATTGTCGACATAATAAACAGTTAAAACGCTGATATTTCGTTGGATTTAAAAAGGAAACCTTTCAAAGTTAAATGTTTCTTCGAAATAGTGAATTTCTTTGTGTCCATTGAGAAATTCCATTGGATGTAATGTATGTAGTAAGAAAAAAATTCGTCGTCGTAAAATTTCTTAACGACTCTTTCGTTATTAGAGTTTTTAGCACCTGTTCAATTATTAAAGAAAACGAAATCAATTGTTACGTCCCAAAAATTCCTTAAATAACGATCGATTCGATTATGAAAACACGAAATTTGTAATTAATTTAAGAAATCTCCGACACAAAATAATTTTTAACTGAAAAGATGTGTTTTTTTTTTGATAGGGAGAGAAAAGAATCGATGTAAAATTCATATAGGTCGTTACATATGTATATAAAATTGTCTAGACGAGGAGGAATTTATTTAAATAAATCTCGGACACACTCCGAAACCAAACACTTCGAGTTCATTTGTAATAGAAATGTATTAATCTTGAAATGAGCCGAAAATTTAAATTTTATTCGAAACGTACAACTATAAAAGGTACATTTTTAACAGTTTGGTCTCAGTTGACTCAAAAAATTCGTGCGGAAAACAACGCAACTATTTATTTGTTTATTGTTGATGTTTTTCTTTCGATTTTGACGAGTTTAAGTTATTGTTTACTGTTGTGTCTTCGTTTATAAGTACGTAAATAACTTTTTTAATTACATTTAACACTTAAATATATATGAAAGGAAATACTCGAATCGTGATTTTCCACTAAATTCAACATTTTAAAACATCAAAAAAGACGTGATTTTATCGGATAAACTAAAATTGTTTTAAAGAAAATTTGATTTTAAAAGAAAAAATTAAAAAAAAATATTTTTGAAGACATTTTTTTTTTGTTTTTGTTATTAAATTCGTAATAAGAATAAAAAATCCTTTAATTTGATACCAAACACGAAGTATTTCGGTTAAAACTTAAAAAAGTTAGGTTAAAAACTGTCAAATGTCTTTTTTTTTAAATCAAAAAGTAAAATAATCTCAATTTTCTTAATAAGAATCAAAAATGCTTTAATTTGATACCAAACACGATACATTTAAGTCAAAAAATAAAAAAGTTGGGTTATGCTGTCAAATTTAAAAAAAAGATGGCGTGAATTTCTTATTTTGAGATATCTCGGTAACGATTTCAGATAAATTAATCGTGTTTAGACTCGTTTTAAAGGATTTTCATTTCTATACTTAATTCCGTTAATAAAACGATACCTTATTAATCAAAAAAACAAAATTAACTAAAATTGGGTACTTCCGGAAATTATTTTTTTTATTAAATTCTTAATAACAATAAAAAATATCTTAATTTGATACCAAACACGAAGTATTTTGGTTAAAATTTAAAAAAGTTAGGTTACAAACTGTCAAATGTAATTTTTTTTTTAAATCAAAAATTAAAATAATCTCAATTTTCTTAATAAGAATCGAAAATCGTTTAATTTGATACCAAACACGATATATATAGGTCAAAAAATAAGAAAAGTTGGGTTATGCTGTCAAATTAAAAAAAAAAAGATGGCGTCAATTTGTTATTTTGAGATATCTCGGTAACGATTTAAAATAAATTAATCGAGTTTGGGCTCGTTTTAAAGGATTTTTAATTCTCTACTTAATTCCGTTAACAAAACGATACCTTATTAATCAAAAAAACAAAATTAACTAAAATTGGGGTACTTCCGGAAATTATTTTTTCTGTTAAATTCTTAATAACAATAAAAAATATCTTAATTTGATACCAAACACGAAGTATTTCGGTTAAAATTTAAAAAAGTTAGGTTAAAAACTGTCAAATGTCATTTTTTTTAAAATCAAAAATTAAAATAATCTCAATTTTCTTAACAAGAATCGAAAATCGTTTAATTTGATACCAAACACGATACATTTAGGTCAAAAAATAAAAAAGGTTGGGTTATGCTGTCAAATTAAAAAAAAAGATGGCGTCAATCTTTTATTTTGAGATATCTCGGCAACGATTTAAATTAACTAAAATTGGGGCACTTCCCGAAATTATTTTTTTTATTAAAATCTTAATAACAATAAAAAATATCTTAATTTGATACCAAACACGAAGTATTTCGGTTAAAAATTAAAAAAGTTAAATTAAAAACTGTCAAATGTCATTTTTTTTAATCAAAAATTAAAATAATTTCAATTTTCTTAATAAGAATCGAAAATCGTTTAATTTGATACCAAACATGATATATATAGGTCAAAAAATAAGAAAAGTTGGGTTATGCTGTCAAATTTAAAAAAAAAGATGGCGCCAATTTTTTATTTTGAGATATCTCGGTAACGGTTTGAGATAAATTATTCATGTTTGGGCTCATTTTAAAGGATTTTTATTTCTCTACTTAATTCCGTTAATAAAACGATACCTTATTAATCAAAAAAACAAATTAACTAAACGTGGGGTATTTCCGGAAATTATTTTTTCAATTAAATTTTTAATAATAATAAAAAATATCCTAATTTGATACCAAACACGAAGTATTTCGGTTAAAAATTAAGAAAGTTGTGTTAAAAACTGTCAAATGTCATTTCTTTTTAAATCAAAAATTAAAATAACCTCAATTTCCTTAATAAGAATCGAATGTGGTTTAATTTGATACCAAACACGATATGTTTATGTCAAAAATTAAAAAAATTGGGTTATGCTGTCAAATTAAAAAAAAAGATGGCGTCAATTTTTTAATTTGAGATACCTCGGTAATGATTTAAGATAAATTAATCGAGTTTGGGCTCGTTTTAAAGGATTTTTAATTCTCTACTTAATTCCTTTAATAAAACGATACCTTATTCATCAAAAAAAAACAAAATTAACTAAATTGGGGTACTTCCGGAAATTATTTTTTTTATTAAATTCTTAATAACACTAAAAAATATCTTAATTTGATACTAAACACGAAGTATTTCGGTTAAAAATTAAAAAAGTTTGATTAAAAACTGTCAAATGTCATTTTTTTTTAAATCAAAAATTAAAATAATTTCAATTTTCTTAATAAGAATCGAATATGGTTTAATTTGATACCAAACACGGTATGTTTATGTCAAAAATTAAGGAAATTAGGTTATGCTGTCAAAAAAAAAAAAAGATGGCGCCAATTTTTTATTTTGAGATATCTCGGTAACGGTTTGAGATAAATTGTTCATGTTTGGGCTCATTTTAAAGGATTTTTAATTCTCTATTTAATTCCGTTAATAAAAGTACACCTTATTAACCAAAAAAAATTAATTTTAAATACTAACACTTCTAAAATTTTTTTTAAGCACTTTCTTTTCGAATTCTTCTTTTTTAACACCAAGTATTTTTCTCCTATTTCTGGTCGATCACACACACAATTTTAAAGCACTCACACAGGCACGGTTTGGACGCCGCCGTGCAGTCTACAAATAGTGAGCGATATGGCCACGAGGACCTTAGTTATGAACAGTTACCGGCCGAAGCCGAACGTTCAGTTTCAATTTAAAAGTTATTAACAAAAAAAATTTTAAAATAAAGGTGAGAATCGATTGAGATTAATTTAATTTTAAAAAATGTTGAAAAATATTACCGGAAGTTACTTTATATACATTAATTAATTATTTTTTGGTGCACTTTTTCGAGTCAGCAAAAAAATTATTTTTATTGATACGGAATTTACAAATCACGCCACTTAGTTTACTCTAGTTCTTTTACGTTGTGGTGTTATAGAAGCGGCTGACTCAGCTAGACCAGACCAAACAAAACAACCATCAACAAGAAGACGAAACACTCCAGATCATTTAGATTCGCCCATTCAAGTTTTTCAAATTTTAACGAAGAATTTTCGCCCGAAAGAGAAATGAGTCTAAAAATATTTGTGTTGTGGTTTTTTTTAAAAATCCTCTTTTTTTCCTCGACGACGAGTTGCTGGCCGGTCACGGAAACGAAAATAACCTCAGTTGTTGGCAGCAGGAGGGACGACATCGAAAGGGATTCGATGACCCGCGATGATGGAGTTGGTAAAAATGAGGTAGACGTAAACAAACCGCCCACTGAAGATCAATCAGCACCAATAACACGAGATTTTGAGAGTTATTTCATGATGGGGGATCAACCGATGAATGATGATGGGTTTAAAACGATTAGTGTGGCTCCTTTGGATGATGATGGGGCTTCAAAAGTGGTTGTTAAAAATTTCGGGGATTCATCAACGATTGACCCGATTCTTTTGAAAAGGATTAGAACGTAAGTGATTATGTAATTAAATTTGGGTTGGGATCATGATTTTAGAACTTATCGGATATAGCGAGCTCGTTATATCCGATTTTACTAACTTCTTCAGTTCATTCTTTGTTTTTTAATTATAAGGGGCGAAGAGGGCGCAACCACTCTCCTGGATTACGATAGGTACAAGCTGTTCTATGTAATTGAGCTTCTTAATACAATGTGTGTTGTGGCGTGCGCTTAACTTTTGCACTTCTTCTCTGCAATGCAACTTTGCTTCACCCAGAGGTCAACAATCCTTCCTCCGCAATAATCGCAGTCTAGACGTTTAGAACCAAACCCAGTTCTAGAAAGTTCAAATTCCCCAAAAAATCGCTTTAAGTGTGTATTCGCCTTAATTTTTTTATTGAGCTTATTTTTTTTTGGATTTTTTTTTGTTTTTCGTCTGCGAATCCATTCGGAATGTAAAATATGTCGTTGAACCGTCGTGGTCGGCTCGTTGCTTACTTCGCGCCTGGTTTGAAATGCGACGATTGCGTAAAACCGTCTAGACTTAAGGGGCGTACCGACCACTAAGACTTTTTCATTACAACATTGTTAATTCGAATCGATTTCATTTAACAGCGATAGAATGAACAGGATAACAGACATCAAAGTGATGGTCCCCATCATGACGGGAAGAGTGAACCTCACCGAAACATCCAACAAAAACAACTCATCGAAAACCTACGACGACATAATCAACAGCTTACCCCCCATCGAAAAAGTGATCCCGTTTCTCCCAAAATGCTCCGCGCCAAAAATCGCCAAAGATAACTGGAAAGACGATAATTTATTGTACTTATTCTTTAACGTGAGTTACGGTGTAAACGCAACTTTAGCAAGCGCCGTCATAAAATTGCATCGAATCGCAAGCGAAAATTTAAATTTAAATCTAAATTTAAATAATCAAGGAGAAGGCGAAAAAGCCGAAGAAAAATTATTAAGAGTCTCCATCTATTGGTTTAGTAAACAAGGAAAGAAGCAAAAAGGTAAATTTAAAACATCAAAAAAAATAAAAAAAAAATTAATTTGATTTTTTAGTTAAAAAACTGTTATGTGACAGCGCCGTAATCCCCGAAAAACAAGCGACCGTCGAATTGAACGTCAAACCGGCTTTAATTTCGTGGTTGGAAACTCAAAATCTCGGATTTGGCGTTAAAGTTGAAAATCAAGAGGAGGTTACGTACAAAGCGAATAATTTTTATAAAGGGGCCGATTGTAAAACGAATGCGGGTGAGTTTTGATTGAATTAATTTATGTGGTTATGAAAAATGCTTTAAAATGAGTCCAAACTCGATGGGGTTATCTCTAAAAATACCCGAGATATGCAAAAATTTTAACCTAAAAATTTCAAAATGGCGGATTTCACCTAACTTTTTTTGTTTTTATTGTAAATATGGTGCGTTTGGAATCAAATTAAAGGATTTTTTATGTATTTAACTTCATCATTAATAAAAATTTTTTTTTTGGTAATTTTTTAAAAAAATTATTTTGTTTTGAGTATAATTTCATAAAGGAAATTAAAAATGCTTTAAAATGAGTCCAAACTCGGTGAGGATATCTCGAAACATAACCAAGATACACAAAAAATCCTTTAAAATGAATCCAAACTCGATGGGGTTATCTCTAAAAATACCCGAGATGTACAAAAATTTTTACCAAAAAAATTTCAAAATGGCGGACTATGATTTTAACCTAACTTTTTTTATTTTTATCGTAAATGTGATGAGTTTGGAATCAAATTAAAGGATTTCTTATGTAGATTACGAATTTAACTTCATCATAAATAAAAAATTTTTTTTTTGATAATTTTTTTAAAAAAATTATTTTGTTTTGAGTATAATTTCATAAAGGAAATTAAAAATGCTTTAAAATGAGTCCAAAGTCGGTGAGGATATCTCTAAAAATACCCGAGATACGCAAAAATTTTAATCTAAAAATTTCAAAATGGCGGGTTTTATTTAATCTAGCTTTTTTTATTTTTATCGTAAATATGGTGTGCTTGGTATCAAATTAAAGGATTTTTTATGTAGATTACGAATTTAACTTCATCATTAATAAATTTTTTTTTTGATAATTTTTAAAAAGAAATTTCAAAATGGCGGATAATGGTTTTAACCTAACTTTTTTGATTTTTATCGTAAATATGGTGCGTTTGGAATCAAATTAAAGGATTTTTTATGTAGATTACGAATTTAACTTCATCATTAACAAAAAATTTTTTTTTGATAATTTTTTAAAAAATTATTTTGTATTGAGTATAATTTCATAAAGGAAATTAAAAATGCTTTAAAATGAGTCCAAACTCGGTGAGGATATCTCTAAAAATACCCAAGATACGCAAAAATATTAACCAAAAAATTTTCAAAATGGCGGATAATGATTTTAACCTAACTTTTTTGATTTTTATCGTAAATATGGTGAGTTTGGAATCAAATTAAAAGATTTTTTATGTATGTAACTTCATCATTAATAAAAATTTTTTTTTTTTGATAATTTAAAAAAAAAATTATTTTGTTTTGAGTATAATTTCATAAAGGAAATTAAAAATGCTTTAAAATGAGTCCAAACTCGGTGAGGATATCTCTAAAAATATCCGAGATACACAAAAATTTTAACCTAAAAAATTTCAAAATGGCGGATAATGATTTTAACCTAACTTTTTTGATTTTTATCGTAAATATGGTGTGTTTGGTATCAAATTAAAGGATTTTTTATGTAGATTACGAATTTAACTTCATCATCAAATAAAAATTATTGTTTTTTTGATAATTAAAAAAATTAAATCTTTTCGATTTTAATTTCATAAAACTCATGAAAAATCTTGTAAAATAAGTCCAAACTCGATGGGGTTATCTCTACAAACACCGGAGATACACAAAAATTTTAACCTAAAAATTTCAAAATGGCGGATAAAAATTACTCTTTTTGATAATTAAAAAAAAATTAAAATCATTTCGAATTTAATTTCATAAAGATCATGATGCTTTAAAATGAGTCCAAACTCGATGTGGTTATCTCTAAAAATACCCGAGATATACAAGAATTTTAACCTAAACATTTCAAAATGGCGGATATTGGTTGTAACCTAACTTTTTTGATTTTTATCGTAAATATGGTGTGTTTGGTATTAAATTAAAGGATTTTTTATATAGATTACGAATTTAACTTCATCATCAAATAAAAATTATTGTTTTTTTGATAATTAAAAAAATTAAATCTTTTCGATTTTAATTTCATAAAGCTCATGAAAAATCCTGTGAAATGAGTCCAAACTCGATGGGGTTATCTCTAAAAACACCCACAAGGGAGATACACAAAAATTTTAACCTAAAAATTTCAAAATGGCGGATAACAATTACTCTTTTTGATAATTAAAAAAAAAATTAAAATCATTTCGAATTTAATGTCATAAAGATCATGTAATATGCTTTAAAATGAGTCCAAACTCGATGAGGTATCTCTAAAAATTCCCGAGATATACAAAAATTTTAACCTAAAAAATTTCAAAATGGCGGATTATGATTTTAACCTAACTTTTTTAATTTTTTTCGTAAATATGGTGTGTTTGGTATCAAATTAAAGGTATTTTTATGTAGATTACAAATTTACCATCATCAATAAAAATTAAAATTTTTTTTTGATATTTAAATAAAATTAAAATCTTTTCGAATTTAATTTCATAAAGCTTATAAAAAATCCTTTAAAATGAATCCAAACTCGATGGGGTTATCTCTAAAAATACCCGAGATGTACAAAAATTTTTACCAAAAAAATTTCAAAATGGCGGACTATGATTTTAACCTAACTTTTTTAATTTTTCTCGTAAATATGGTGTGTTTGGTATCAAATTAAAGGTATTTCTATGTAGATTACAAATTTAACTTCATCATCAATAAAAATTAAATTTTTTTTTTGATATTCAAATTAAATTAAAATCATTTCGAATGTAATTTCATAAAGATCATGGAAAATCCTTTAAAATGAGTCCAAACTCGATGAGGTTATCTCTAAAAATACCCGAGATACACAAAAATTTTAACCTAAACATTTCAAAATGGCGGATATTGGTTCTAACCTAACTTTTTTTATTTTTATCGTAAATATGGTGTGTTTGGTATCAAATTAAAGGATTTTTTATATAGATCACGAATTTGACTTCATCATCAATAAAAATTATTCTTTTTTTGATAATTAAAAAAAAATTAAAATCATTTATAATTTACTTTCTTAAAGATCATGAAATATGCTTTAAAATGAGGCCAAACTTGATGAGGTTATCTCTAAAAATACCCGAGATACACAAAAATTTTACCCTAAAAAATTTCAAAATGGCGGACTATGATTTTAACCTAACTTTTTTAATTTTTCTCGTAAATATGGTGTGTTTGGTATCAAATTAAAGGTATTTTTATGTAGATTACAAATTTAACTTCATCATCAATAAAAATTAAATTTTTTTTAATATTTAAATAAAATTAAACTCATTTCGAACGTAATTTCATAAAGATCATAAAAAATCCTTTAAAATGAGTCCAAACTCGATGAGGTTATCTCTAAAAATACCCAAGATACACCAAAATTTTAACCAAAAAATTTCAAAATGGCGAATAATAATTTTAACCTAACTTTTTTGATTTTTATCATAAATATGATGTGTTTGGTATCAAATTAAAGGATTTTTTATATAGATTACGAATTTAACTTCATCATCAAATAAAAATTATTGTTTTCTCGATAATTAAAAGAATTAAATCTTTTCGATGTTAATTTCATAAAGCTCATGAAAAATCCTGTAAGATGAGTCCAAACTCGATGGGGTTATCTCTAAAAACACCGGAGATACACAAAAATTTTAACCTGTTTTTTAATTTAATTTTAAAATGGCGGATATTGGTTCTAACCTAACTTTTTTGATTTTTATCGTAAATATGGTGTGTTTGGTATCAAATTAAAGAATTTTTTATGTAGATTACGAATTTAACATTATCATCAATAAAAATTAAAATTTTTTTGATATTTAAATAAAATTAAAATCATTTCGAATGCAATTTCATAAAGATTATGAAAAATCCTTTAAAATGAGTCCAAACTCGATGAGGTTATCTCTAAAAATACCCGAGATATACAAAAATTTTTACCTAAAAAATTTCAAAATGGCGGACTATGATTTTAACCTAACTTTTTTAATTTTTCTCGTAAATATGGTGTGTTTGGTATCAAATTAAAGGGTTTTCTATGTAGATTATGAATTTAACTTCATCATCAATAAAAATTATTCTTTTTTTGATCATTAAAAAAAAAATTAAAATCATTTCGAATTTAATTTTATAAAGATCATAAAAAATCTTTTAAAATGAGTCCAAACTCGATGGGGGTATCTCTAAAAACATCCAAGATACACAAAAATTTTAACCTAAAAATTTCAAAATGGCGGATTTTGATTAACCTAACTTTTTTGATTTTTATCGTAAATATGGCGTGTTTGGTATCAAATTAAAGGATTTTTAATGTAGATTACGAATTTAATTTAAAAAATCAATAAAAATTAATTTTTTTTTGATAATTATTTTTGAAACAAATACATAATTGAAAGCTGAGGCAATACCACAGGTATAACAAAGCAATTTAACGAAAAATAACGATTTTTCTTCAGTATTAATATGTTATCAACGGGCGAGGCAACTATGCTGCCGAGGCAGTAGCTCAAATATTATAAGGCATGAAGTAAAGGTTTCTTTTTAGAACCAATATATCATTAAAAGCCGNTTAAAATGAGTCCAAACTCGATGGGGGTATCTCTAAAAACATCCAAGATACACAAAAATTTTAACCTAAAAATTTCAAAATGGCGGATTTTGATTAACCTAACTTTTTTGATTTTTATCGTAAATATGGCGTGTTTGGTATCAAATTAAATGATTTTTAATGTAGATTACGAATTTAATTTAAAAAATCAATAAAAATTAATTTTTTTTTGATAATTATTTTTGAAACAAATACATAATTGAAAGCTGAGGCAATACCACAGGTATAACAAAGCAATTTAACGAAAAATAACGATTTTTCTTCAGTATTAATATGTTATCAACGGGCGAGGCAACTATGCTGCCGAGGCAGTAGCTCAAATATTATAAGGCATGAAGTAAAGGTTTCTTTTTAGAACCAATATATCATTAAAAGCCGAGGCAACTTCGCTGCCGAGGCAGTGGCTCAAGCAAAGGATTTTTTCA